TATATATATATATATATATATAGACACACACACATACACATACACATACACAATATTTATATACTGCATATATACAAAAGGTGTATAAATGGATGATTTTAGATCTTCTCAAACTATAAGGAATAAGCAGAATAGGATACAGCCTTGTTAGCAGACAAAAACTACTTCAGTTTCTATTGGCAGAGTTTTCATAATTCCAATATCTAACTATAAAACATATCATAAGAAGCAACTCTATACAAAACTCAGTTTCAAACAGGAGATAGATAATAAAACATCATTACTAGCATATGGTGTCAAAGATTGTAAAATTGCAAGTAGCACATCTTAACAATACAGGGCTTGATCTGCCCAGAAAAAAAATAAATGAATTGATTATATAGAAGATCAGTATTGCATACAAACCTATTCTTAATGGGATGGAAGTAGTGGTAAGAAGCTGATTGAAAGCATAAAAGGAGGAGAATAACTGGATAATTGGCTGGAGATAATTTGGCATGAGCAGCTTGCAAGGATGGTAGATATCAGATAAGGCCCTCAACTGGATAAGTTCCAATTTCCTTTTTAGTCATTAGCACCCCCAAAATTATACTGAATGAAATTTCCTGCAGTGGAAAATGGAGCAGAATATGTGATTTAAGCATCCAGTAATCATCCCCTTTATTAAAATGCTTAAATAATTTCCCATCCACCCCAACATCAAAAGAAGGGGAGGAGGAAGCCAAAAATCCTACCTAATCAAGATGCCACCCATTGCCCTAATGGGCAAAAGAATGATGAAAATAACACTCTTAGTTGCAAAAAAATAATCAATGCTTATTTACAGCCCCAATGTCTAAGGCAAGAGCTAGAGGATAAAATGGAAACTGTTCCATTGATCCTTACCTCCAAGGTGTTCTGGGATGTATTAAAAGGAGATAATAGATCATAAGCAATCAGTGTTGGAGTGGGGGGGAGCTTTAAAATGGTTATATTTGAAAAGATTTTCCTTTTTTTTTTCCAGAGCATGTAACTGGTTCCTGTCTGGAGTCTTCAATCCTCAAGGAATTAGTTAGGATGTTAAAAGACTTACAGTATTTTGAAAGTTCAACTAAGTTGTAAAATTAGGGATGAAAATTGCATTGTCTGATATAAGTATCTTAAAATGTTTTAATGAATATTTTAAATATATTTTTTTCTCTTTTGTTAAATTGGGAGGCCAATTTGCCAAAAATTGGGATGTGTCATTTTGAATGACATGCATAACAACTGAGACATCTACTTCCCTAACCAATGTCAAGTCAATATATTAGGAAATGCTAGGGAAATAGTGCCTAACTGCAGCTTAATTCATTAAAAAAGCATGGATTTTTTTAAAAAATAAGTATGTATATTTTTAGATACCGTTTACGTAGACAGACTACTCCTAATTTTGGATCTCTAGCTATTACGGCTACTTTGAATGATGGGGGCCTTTGGGCTATTTGGGAATATTTTCCATAGAGTTCAGTGGGATTTACTGCAATATAAATGCCTATAGAATGGCATCCTAAGGCCATTTTTGTACAGCCATAAGTTTGGCAGTATATCTTACTGGTGAACATCAGATAGCATTTTTATTCATTCCCATTTCAACTAATTTCTGTAAAATTAATAACACCTAACATGTTTATTTCGTTTTCAATAGCCATTATACATATATTTAGTGAGATGGTATTTCTTTTTATTGCTGAATTTACATTCCCCCAAGGCCTCAATAAGGGAACCCTCCACTAGTATTGTCATTACAACCCTCATAATTCCAAGAAGTGTGATCCCCAAACTAGAGAATACCATATCGAGGAAGCTGTCCAAAATGTTTTTTTATGGGTTCCCTTCTGCATTCATTCATTTTTCTGCTTTGCTTTCGTATTTCCCGATTATTGCTAGGCTTTTTCCCCTGTAGATCATTTAGATGTCAAGAAGCAAATTCACATAAGCGAAGTTTTTCCTGAAGTGCTTCTTAATCTTTGTTTTTGTGTATATATGAACAAGAGTTCCTTCTACCGTTTTGGAAGGAAAAAACCTGGAACTCTCAAGATCATACTTTACTACATTTATCCATAACTACAGACTTCTGTATGACTCTCAGGTAGTGTGTCTCACAAAAATGTATCTTTGCTTTTTACAAAATAAATTTATCAGCTGAATGTGCCTGCCAAGATTATAAACTCAGAAAGAAGATAAAATAGGTAATCTTATCCCTTCAGTGTCTTAAATGAAAGCCTAATGAAATTACATTTTATAAGTTATTAGACAAATGGACAAGATTTTGTTAAATTGCAATATTTCCATTAGTTCATCTTGACCAATGAACAGTGGATTTGGAAGGAAAATGGTTGCATTTGTTTTAGTTTTTAATAACCCAACCATTAAGAATGTTCTATGTTTTCCAAATAATATTTCAGACTTTCGTCCTTATGAAGACATTCCATAAGAGATAAAGAGATAATGCATAATCCAGTGATATTATGTTATTGTTCTATGCCTTGTTGTTGAAAATCTTTATTCAGAAATGAATGTGGGAACATTAATAGAACCCTACCTAGCTTAGTTTGATATTTTCATACTGGCCTTTCAGATATTGATTGGAACCCCACAATTGGGAAATGAACCCACGATTGTCATTTTATAAATCTTCTTCAACAGTTGATACTGTGATACTTATAATAACACATAAGCTTTATGACTAGCTGTTATTCAGAGCCTTTTATATGTTATATCCATGAACTGATTTATTTCTTTTCAAAACTATTGAACTCACCGTCATCAACACTGGGTCTTAAAGATAGTAGATTCTGTATTTTCTCTGAACTCTGCTTTCTTTTATTTCTTGGGAATTTCTACAATTCAGCATACAATAATTTTCCTTATCAAAGCAACTTAAAAAAAACTGAAAAGGATATTGGAATTCAGTGAACTTCATCTGAGGAAAATGAGTTACGGTAAATACAATCAGAGCACCTTTTGCTAAGTCACTTCTAGAAAAGCAGTTCTGAGCAATACAGGATGGACCCGAGAGTTATTAGAAAAGCGAACTTTGTCCTGAATGTTCTGAATACATTCAGAAATGTATCCTGAATAGAAAGCTGGAGCAAAGCACACAGTGAAGACATTTGGGAAAGGAAGATCAGGTGAGGAGAAGGCTGCTAAATTGAGAGGAAGGAGACTGAGATAGGTATAAAACTGGAGAAATAATGGTGTCTTGGAACTACAAAGGTGAAGGATGAGGAAATTTACATGTCGGTTTGAAATAACCAATTAAATCTTTTGATAGCAGATATCTGTGTTGACTGTATTCAGTTTTATTGAGCTCAATCAACAGTAATTAGTTACATTGATATAAATAACCAGCGCCAAATTTAGAGACCCAGAACAAAATTGTTCCTTAGGGCCATGGAGTAACTATGATTACAACAACAATTCTTGAAATAAGAACTACCCAAATGTCACGTATAATGTTGTTTTAGCACATCCTAGGAAATTTAAATAGTGGTGCTGAAGGTTGTCTCAAAGCACAGTGAGGAGTCCTGGAGCATGTTTGTGGCAATGCTGGTTTTGGTAAGGAATGACAGCACTTCATGCCAATGAACTGATAATAGGCCACCTGTCACTTTCTTATATATGAACATACAATTAGATATCCACACATCAGATTGCTCAACAAGGTTCTAAATAACATTATTCAGAAACCCTAACCATATTAAGAATAATATCAGGATCTAAAATTGCAACTTTGAATTAATAGCAGCATTTGATTCTTTTAGTCAAATAATGAAATTAGCAAAAAAACTATCAAGTATCCATTGCTACGTTTAGAACAAATGTTATAGTTGTTTAATTCATATGATAAGGCGTGTTACATCACTAACTGCAATATTTTGGGCAACCTTCTATGATGGCTTAATTAATTCTGTAACTTATAATGAAAAGAATTTGAAGAGTATGAGGAAGGGGCTTCATACATGGAAACAATTATATCAGATTTATTTTGTTAATACCACTGAGTCTTTTTCCCACTTCTGTATGCAGTTAAAAACGTAAATCTGCTGTATATGTAATTTGTGACTGGCCAAAATTGTTTATGGAGACAAACCAAACATAACCTTTGGCCTGGCTGCATTAAAGCCAAATGTAAGAAACAGTAATGGCATAGGATTTGACTAATTGTAAATAAATTACTTGCTGTTATAGTTTCAACATAGAAAAGGCACCTATTTTCCTTTGTTTTAAGCCTTGTAGAAAGCCAATAAAATGATGCATTGAATGTCCAGTGCATCATTTCAGAAGGCAAAAATTTTGCTAGCATTATTTTTAGTTGTAATATTAGAAGTCATTTTTCTAACATCTGTGCAAAGCTGTAAAATATATGTGCAACAATCCCATACTACCGTTGTTGTTTTTCCTGTACTATATGTGTATTTGCTTCATTGGAACATCTAAAGTTAATAAAGTACTGAAAGTCTCTGACTGTTTCTTACGTCTGCTATGAAATATATAGATAAATAAAACACTTTGAGTATGTAATATTTTGTTAAAAATTCATTTTAACATGAACAGCATCCAATATTTATTAAAATCCAATGTAATCTCCAAAAATATATGTCTGCAAAGTCAATGAGAAAGTGAGAAACAAATATTGGTCCTTTCATCAGAAGAGCATTTTACAAGAAATCTCCACATAATTTTCTTCTATCATTACCCATTACCCTAATTTATTATATTAAATTAATCTAGTTCAGGTTTATCAAAGTAATTTGTTCAGCAGGTTTGCCTTAACTAATATTCTGTAAAATTTTAACTAAATCTCTACAGCAGGATACTTCCATATTTTGAATTTGGAAATAAATTCTAAGCTTTTTCATGAAATTCTGTAGTATTGTACGGAGGTTTCTATAGTTACCAAATGCCTACATAGTCATAAAACATTAATTAACAGCAAAATCCTTCTACCCACATCTTTTCTTCTGTCCTAGCCAGGATGCTCCTGACTATCTAACCTAAGTGAGTTATCTCCCAAGCAAAATGCTGGGCTACTGTCATCTCGCCTTAGTAATTTTCTATGACCGTTTGTGACACCTAAATCTTTTTGTACCCATGTTATAGAAGTTGCCACTTTTCCACTTGCTAGAGTTTTATTTTTTTTTAATAGAAATTTCTCATTAGTAACCATGTCAAAGTGTTTCAAAAACATATAATCCATTCTCTAAAGGTTGTGGACTTGACCTGGACTAAATCAGTGATGTTCATACTGTTGATTCTGTTAAAAGTTTAAAGGATGGTATGAAGAAGATAGATGACACATTGCATCCTGACTCATTATTTTAGTTTATGGAGGACTTTTATTAACGATTGTCAAGTTCCTGCCCAGAAAATGAGAGTTCACCTTGAAATATATGATTTAATTGCTGGTTTAATTGCTTATATTTCTTGCTATAATATAGCATATCATTTGTTTTTGACTTAGCACAATACATGCAACTAACCATATGGATTGCAAACCATGGTTTATGGATGAGCATGTTCTGCAAATACAGCCAGTTAAATGTTTATCCAATAATGCTGGTTCACAGCACTTTTCAAACCAAGGTCCACTTTTGGCTTTAGAATAGCATGTTTTCCCCTTTAATTAATTTAAATATTACAGATAAATTGTACAGTAACTTTTGCAGATACTTTGGGGTTGAATCCTAGGAAAGGATTCATATGCCCATCTATGTTTTAAAGTATGGCTAAACCAATCATGGCTTAGCACAATGCATTACCCCAAAATATCCGAGTTAAGAAATGGGCCTAGAATCATAGAATCATCATAGAACTGGAAGGAGGATGGTCTTCTAGTTCAAATCCCTGCCCAAGGCAGGCATTGTTATACCATCTCAGAAAAAGCATTGTCCAAACTGTTCTTGAAACATCCAGTGATGGAGCATCCACAACACTGGAAGGCAAGCTGTTCCATTGTTCTCTGTCTCTGTCAGGAAATTTCCCCTTTCCAGGTTGAATCTCTCCCCCTTCCAAGGATCTCCCACCCATTGCTTCTTATCTTACTGTCAAGTGCTATGGAGAATAAATTGATGCCCTCTTCCCTGTGACAGCCCTCAAGATCACAATCATGTCTCCCGAGCCTTCTTTTTATTGGGCTATTTGCTTTAGCTGTTCTTTGTATGATTTAGTCTCCAGACTTCTTATCATCATTATTGTTCTTCTCTACATTCTTTCTAGGGCCTCACCATCATTTTACATCATGGTAATCAGAAATGGATGCACTATTCCAAATATGGACTTACCAGTGCAGCATAGAGCAGTACTATCACTCACATGATGTTGATGTTAGGATTAGGGTTAACCCTAGAACTGTGATTTCTTTTTTGGCAAGTGCAACACACTGCTGACTCAAATTTAAATGGTGATCCACTAGGACACCTAGATCCCTCTCACAGTACTGTTGAGCCAGGTACCTCCTACTCTATACCTATGCATTTGATTTTTTTCCTGCGTTAAGTATAGGAACTTACTTCTCTCAACACTGAAGTGCATCTTATTGGTTGGGGCCCAATGTTAAGATCCTTCTGAATATTGAGTCTATCTTCCAAAGGGTTAGCAATTCCACCCGTATGCTGTCATCTGCAAATTTAATGAGTTCCTGTGTGAGCTCCTTACCACTGCTTTTTGTTTCAAGAATCTAATTCTGATTGTATGTTGGATCTACTTCCCACCAGAAGGTATTCATTTTCCATGGACTAAAGGCTTAAATCCAACTTTGTCTGTTCTTTTAGATATATTCAAATATTATCCGAAGCAGTTTCTTGTTTGACTCAGTACAACTCGGAAAAGGGGAATGCCCTGGGTTGAGAGAATTGTAAATATTAATTGTGCACATACATTTGGATAGGGAGGGGTGTCAGGACTTCAGATATACAGTGATAAGAAAGTGCTGTGTTAGCACTTTTCTTATTTTTCTTACCAAACTGGCTTACAGACACCAGTTACTTGTGGAGACATGACAAGGAACATAGATATATATGTAAATATACATTATTGCATGACATGAAGAGTTTACCATTCTTATCAGTTGCCCTGCATTTGCTCTAAATTGCATCTGGTTTCGCTCCAAGAACAGGAGGGGATAATTGGATTGATGCTACACCAAAGCTTGGAACCTGTAGCGGCATGCATTTTGTGACAATGCAAATCCCAGGAGATAGTCAGAATTTTAGTGTATGGGAATGTAAGAAAGAGTGTCAGGCATTTTTGTGTGTGTTAAGAGGCCTGTTTCCTGGCCCTATAAGCATCCATGGTTACAATTGTACTTAGTTCCATATTAATTGTTTTTAATTTGTTTTTATACTCTATGATGGACACGGCACAGAGTCACTTGTTGAGATGGGCAGCTATACAAATCAAACATATATATATGTATGTACATACGTACACACACACACACAAACACACACACACACACACACACACACACACACACACACACAC